CAATATACATTCGATTTTTCTTTATTGCTTTCTGCTCAGTTTCATATAAAAATAGATTCTATGGAAAATTTCATCTATGTAATACTTGTAAGAATAATTTCCACTGCTTGGATGAAATTTCTGATTATAATTATATAGTCTGATGTTGATTTCTCTTATTAATGCTGACCTTATCTTTTTATGGGCATACTTAAGTACAATTTTCACAAAGGGCGACGACTGTTATTTCCACTAGCACCTTACCTCACATTTTTATGAGACCAAATTTCACTGTTTGTGAGTGTTTCAAAGCATGTAATCTCTTCATTATTTTTAGGGTTTAATGTGTCTACTCCCAAAACCAGGTTTAAACTCAAAACCGTGAATCCGTTCTCAATAGAATTTTACTAGAGATAAGAAAAAAATTTATAAATTGGGATTTGGTAATGGTAACACGAGTTGGGCAGTATACTATCGAGAAGGTTAAATCATTCTCTTAATGCTTAAAGATTGTTGATATGGAGTGAATATAATTATGAGCACATAACCCTGAAAGACTCTTTTAGATGGTTTTATGCTGAAACACATATAATCATAAATTTTCTCAAAATGTGTGGCCATATAAAATAAAACTATCAGAGATAATGAAGAAGTTCTCTTTAGTAAACTATTTTCTACGAAAATTAATTTATATATATTTTGCAATTTAATTGCTATATAATTAACAACCAAATTACTACATAATTGCAAAAATATGCTATATAAAATAATGTAAACATGTTGCGAGACAAAGAATATATAAGATCTATATATAATATATAATATTTATTCTTACAAAATAGTTATTAGTAATAAATAGTTATTAATAATAATAGTAACAGTTATTAATAATCGTTGAAACTAGGATTGTAATGTATAAAATTAACAACACACAAATTAAGAATAAACAAATTTATTAAAAGATATGCGAATTAAGTAATTTATTAATAGTAATAATATCATTCACAATTATTTAGTTAATTGTGATATAGTAGAAGGTTATGTTAACGAAGTATATTTTTATTAAATGTATGTATAGAACAATTTCTATTCTTTATAAATATATTGCTCAAATGTAACAAAACTTAAAAATTGACCCTCACCTAAAAAGAACTCCAAACATCATAATCTACATGGGTGTTTATGTATACCGTTTGTAGCTCAGTTTAAGTACAGATCATATTTAGCCATTGCCCATTCTTGGAATGTTTTTGTTTTTCTGCTCATTGTGTAGGAAGTGCATATTTTTATTCATTGTTTTTGTTTTTTTAAATTATTTTTTATCTAATCAAAGTTTTTTTTTTGTTTTGTATTCATTGGTCTTTGTTTAAAATCAAGTCAAGATTGTGCCATATAGGGAGATAAAAAAAATATCAATATTTTTCTTCTTTATTGGAAGTTAAATCAAATAGAATTGTTGAGTTATATAAGTGGGGATATAGCTCAGTGG